GAAGAAAGTGATCAAAAGGCTTTGGGTCATCGTCTCTGACAGAGGCCTCAAAGGACCAAATGAAGCTGGCTTCTTATGAGTGAGGGTCTCTCCGGGAGTGTACACATGTATTCGATGTCAATCACACTGACAGACCACTTCACTCGATTGGCTGACAAGCGGATCCATAAGGCTCAGAGCAAGAGCACATACATGTCCGTCACGACGTACAATCGTGTGACCAGTTGTCTCACATTTAAAGCACACTGTTAGACCCTGGGCTAACACCGTCACTTATAAAGACGCGCACGCACACACACAGAAGCTGCCGGTCCGAACGCGCTGTGGCTACACACATTTGGTCATTAATCGGAACCTCATTTACACTGGTTGCCTGGTTCAGTAGCAAGACATTAAAACGATGTGGTATTGTTTATGAATCCACCACAGCATTTGACAGATACAAAGACACGAGCCTGACGTTTCCGCACACAGTTTTTTTTTCGGATCAAATACTGCATTGGTGTCACCCATACCAGAGTCACTCCAGGACATTCATCAAACAGACAAACTACTTAATAGAAGAGCCAGACAACCACCTCTCGATTGAATTTACCTTACCCAGCTTGATGCTAACCATATTCTCTGAACCACTCACATTGTCAATCTATGTGACCGATTTCAGTTTCATCAGGCAGCAAGACATTCTGTAAATCGGGCAAAATTTACTCCCTGGCCGAAGTGCACACCTCTCGAATGTCTGCCCTGGTTGACTTCGGGGAGTAAAATGGAACGTACATGACAGCATACTTACATTAACCTCGACCCCATACATCATGTCAACCGAGAAGCCAGCAAACTTATCACTTTTCAACAACTGTTGTGCGTATTCACTTACAGGTGTGACAAATGGTAATCTGATATACACCGAATTCGAAGTCAGATGAAGCTGAACGGCTGTTGTTGCTGATAACCTGAAATTCCGGCAGATCCATTGTGTAAAGCTAGCGGTCATTCTCTTTTCGAAAAACGATACTTCTAGACTCTAAAAAAGTGGTCCTCAATGGAAGCAACATCAACGACTGTGAGCACTGTCCAACTTCGAGGGAGTGGTGCAGCTCAAGCTAGCGATGAAGTGTTATGTGGTTCACCGGAAGCTTATCTTTCTATAACATAAAATCGTACAAGATATCGGCAGTGTTTGTATGAAAAAGCCATTATGGTATCGCTCTCTCACCATAAATTCAACATGAGATTTCCTGAAAATGTTGAAAAACGGTACCACATTATCGCCTGTCGGTAGTATTTAGCGCATCCGAGTGTCCATAGTCTGACGCTCTGTACTTCGTAGTGGAGAAGACTCGATTCACTCGGCTAGCAAGTCGTTCCTGAATTTTTTTCTGGGGGGGAGTAGGGATAGGGTGTGGAGATGATGCACTAGTGGACTATCACTCAGGTTTTCTGATGCCCTGACCTACCGCATTGTTGAGGTAAATCATTTTTTGGAAGTGGACTTTGTCGGGTTGACCTCATCTTCAGTTGCAGTTGAACGAAGGTGATGAACGCCTTCACCGGGATCAATACGACGGATTGAATTTGGTTGAAGAGGATGGACCAAGCTAAAGATAAACATGAGCAAATATAAAGTGGTTCGGCTCGCATTTCTCTTCTGAAGCGGGTGAAAAGCCAGTGCCCTAATTCACCGATCACATGTGGTACAGCTTGTGAGTAACCATCAGATTGAGGTGCAGTGATAGTCCTGTCAAAGCTTGCTTGAAACGAATGAACGCTACTAATGAAGCTGTTGGAAAAACTTCGACAGCCTTCTACCGGTTTCGACATTTTTCGAGCTGAGTTCGAGTGGAATTACATGCACACGTCCAAAGACTTACCGGTCCAGTTGAACTAATATAAAGCAAACAAAAACTGGGACCTTTAAGGTTAATTCACCGTTCAGGCTCCCCTTCAGTTGTCGGTATTTTCGTTAAAATGATACCAATGCACATCCTAGTTATTGGTCTGACGTCTAACAATCAAGCTAATCTAGTACAACGCCATTTCAACCTTAAGGTTTCCACAATCTTCCCTATATTATCGGCCTTCCACACTGTAAAACCCCCAGGTATCAATTTGCGTATGTTTGTCCGTACCGCTCAACGCTAGCAACTCAGATGCCTACGAAGCAACCGTGACTATTGGTTACATGTTAAGTCCTTCGAGTTTGGCCTGGTTTAAACGGAATAATTGGTTCCCTTATTTTTGAACCAGCGATGGATCTATTCTGTTAAACGTCGTAATGTGTAAGCGAAACAGAAGATTGCTCTGCGGTCCACTGGATTACTCAGAATTCGATTTAGTATTAGCAACGATTAACATTTCTTTTTTGGTCTTCCCTGATTATAGAATCCCAACGAAACAACGTTCCAACACCCCTTGAGAGTGACAGGCCTCAGAGCATCGTTTCAGGAAGGCTTTTAGTTACCCCATATACTCTGTCAATAGGGTACAACTAGTCACTTCTGTTGCTGCATTTGAGTACGTTATATTAGAACATTTTTCGGCAGAAACTGACCCTGCTTCTGCTCTCTATGATGGGTATGACACCACTAATAAGTTCAAAAAAGTTTGAGCAACCCGCTAACGCGTTTACCGTTCGTGGACCCCACGAGGTCCAAAGTTCCATCACTCTTATTTAATAAATGAACAGTGTTTCGGACGCGTTTCAGAAAAACAGTCATCATCAAATTGAGCTAGCGTTACCTGGGGAAAGTAGCCAAATCTCGGCCATATCTCTCCTTTCTAACATCCTGCAGCCAAAAGTTCTGCACCAAGACTGCTTCACGCCTCAGTTGGAACAATATTGAAGATAGTTCTGACACCAAATCAATTTGCAAATATGTTTCTTTGTACAAAAGCGATCTAGAACGACCTAATGAAAAAAACATATGTGCATTTTGTTAGGGTGTTTGCAATTTCGGTACACATTATGCTAGAACTGTAGATTTAGTCTCTTCTGGAATATAACAGAGAGATGGATTCGGATGTCGGATTAAAGGCTCGAACTTTGTTCGTATTTTTGAGAATGCTGATTGCACTGAGCACATAAACCTTATGAATGATGTATCCAGGCCATATTCATCAGTTTTTGTGGGAGTTGCGATATGATATTCTTATTTTCAGCGACTGAGGTTTGATCATCATCATCATCATCACAGAACCTATGAGTTGTACACACTTGAATGCGTTTCGGCTATTCGTTTTGTTCACATGCATAATCACCCTTTGGGTCGATTCGTTTGTCTGTATGCTTGCACGGACATGGGAGTTGAGTAACACTCTCTTAGGTATGAGTCACCAAACAGTATTATTTCATCATCAAATTTACATGACAACTTTTGGATTTATTGCACTAGGTGCGAGTCTTAGTCCTCACATTCATTAGTGAACAAATCTATCCGTTAGAATCACTACAAACTGTTCACATTTGCTATTAGATTACGACATGTTGGTGCGGTGATACTCAATTAGTATCCACACAACTTTCACAGCACACACTACATGATGTTGTGCTATTAACAAACTCAAGGTTTAGATAAGTTCAAAAGGTTACTGGAAACTCGGCAACTCGTGCCTGCCTGTTGAGCCCCAAGAAGGGCGAAACCGCTCGTTGGCTGTTGAAGAGCATTCATTAAGGCGTTACATCTAGGCAAAGACTAACGATACATTCACATATGTCCTACAATGTCACAAATGTCACTGTGCACCACTTATCGTTTTTAGATGGAGCTAACCTTCTTCATCATCCTCTAAAGGATTCATTACTTGCCGATGCAGTGTTGTATTGATACCTCGGATGCGTTAATTACTTGTAGATAAGGTGGCTGTCAATCTTGGTAGGGTCCACACAAAGCCTGCCTGTCCCCAAGAAGGGCGAAACCGCTCGTTGGCTGTTGAAGAGCATTCATTAAGGCGTTACATCTAGGCAAAGACTAACGATACATTCACATATGTCCTACAATGTCACAAATGTCACTGTGCACCACTTATCGTTTTTAGATGGAGCTAACCTTCTTCATCATCCTCTAAAGGATTCATTACTTGCCGATGCAGTGTTGTATTGATACCTCGGATGCGTTAATTACTTGTAGATAAGGTGGCTGTCAATCTTGGTAGGGTCCACACAAATTGGGCGAACACCACCAGTGTGCTTCAGAGATTGTTGGCATAAAGTCTAAGATCGGTGAAGAGATCAACGACTACCTCACTTAAAGCCAGGTCCACCGCTTACAATAACTTCAGAAATAAGCGAGAAAGTTCATGGAATTTCGAGCGATCACGACAAAAGCACACAAAAAACCTCTAGCTGCAAGTGAGACCACTTCATAGTTGTACCGTTGACTTTGTGAGAAAGTCAACTAGTGGTAATTGTTTTGCTGTGCGAGCAGGGTGATACTTTCACTTTGTTGCTGTTGTTGGACAGGGCATCTCGGAAAGTGAATTCAGGATGGTTGTAAAGACTGAAGTAACCGACCGGAGATTTTGGTGCATATTTTGCAGTCCTGCTGGATCACGCATGACGCCAGACTTGCTCCTCATGATCGGGTTGCAAGGGAACTCACAAACGTCTCCGTCGACTAGAATGCACCGCCTTCGAGGAATTAAGAGCATCTACTTCGATGTTCTTCATCAAACCTTACCTAATCGCTGTTCGAGAGCACCGACGAACTGTAGTAAACGTCAGCATAGTCTCGGATGGGAGCGTAGTGTCTGTGTGGAATGAGAAGAAGCAGAAGTATGGTGCTGATCAATATTCCCTCACCATAATCTCAGCTCTAAGTGCAATTCTTTGTGATGTCGACTTTTGGTCCACTAACCGACGATCATCTCTTATCGAGGGGTCTGCTTTCCCCAATCCACCAAGGTTGTTATTGGACTGGGACTTCCTAAGGTCGCAGTCAGTGACTTGTGTTTGCTTGCCATTGTGGGCTCTCTACGTACTTACGAAACTTTATGCGTGACGCATGGCGTTGAGTGTACATTTTTGCCATTTAATCTCACACCAGACCCAGTATGACGGACACTTTGTTGCCTGATGCGCGAGTCTTGACTGTGCTAGCGCACACTGCGCCTTGAAGAGCATCCACCATTGCTTGTCCTTTCTTTGGTTGTTGGTCCTTAGACGCGTGTTTCCATACCAAAGTTTTTACATACGTTGGGATTCATCTTATTTAACCGGAGCTGTTGGTGGCATGACTTCGAATGAGACGTTTCTCTCTTTTATCTCATATCCTCCTGTTACCCTTTCACATTCGTCGCTTGCATTCACATTTTATGTTTGTGATCATGCTCTTCAAAAGTAAATGATAACAGTACCAAAAATTATCATACCCAATGTCTTGTGTGATTTTCTATCACACAGCTGTAGGAATACAGGAAACAAGGTTTCCCACTCTAATGAAAATTTCCTGGGATATATCGCAACATAGGTGGAGTGGGTGCTCGACTGCGTGGTCGTTATTTTGGTCTGTACTGTGGTCTATCGCTATAAAAGATGCTAAAAAGATGAACGTTCTTACTCAATGTAGATTGCTGGCAGATCAGTCAATCTGCACACATACATACACGATGCATGCCAATAAGGAGACGCCATGAGCAGATTGGATGATTAGAAAATTGTACCAGCCGTTTGAGTTTTGTAGACATGCTCAAAGTGCGGCGCCAGAAACGCGTGTCTTCGCAGCCGGTCCAGACGTGGCAAGCGCATTGCGTTCGGATACAATAAACCCGAACCACCGACTCATCTGTCTTAAGGCGAACCGTTTTTAGAACCAAGCGTTATCCATCTGTCTTCAGAGATGATCCCCAGGGGCATTTAGTTTTGTGTTCTTACGGACAAACGAATAATCTTTAATCGTTCGTTTTTATTTCAGCTGGGCAACTGGTTGGTTGGCCCTTCGAATGCCATATGTGTATCACTTTCCGATCTCTATTCTATGTGTCAGCTCCGACGATACTAGACAAAACGCTAATTCAGCAGGCAAAGTAGTTCCTAGCGGGGTCTTCTAGTGAAACTACACTCGCCACATGACTAGGTTACGCAGATGAACGTAAGAATACGGGCATTTGGAATCCAATGGTTCTACATAAACAACATTTTCCGGGAAATTACGTAAACGGTCCTTCTGGAACTCAATACTTTCACTCTCAGCCAACGATTATTGCGATAAGAAATCTCGCGACCACAAATTGCTCTTGGCATTGTACTGACAGTGCATATACCACGAAAATTCCTTAGGCATCTTGGGTCATGTGATAGGCAGGTAGTAAAAGTTCATCGGAGTGGTAAATGTCACTTTTTAACATCATTAAGTAATATCCAACTGACAGCTTTGAACGAAGAAGAACGACGCAGTGGGAAGTTTTCAGTTTCCTATTTCGGGCCTGTATTTCATTGACATTTGAAAACATGGTGCACAGCAACTGTTTTGCGTAACTCGGCAGTCAAATGGACAAGGTCCAGCCGAAGTTGGCAGATTAACGCAACTGTATATTTTTGCATGCGGTTACGCGGAGACTCACGGAAGATTGAACGGTAGTAATTTAATTCACGTGACAGAGTGGTGTTGTTAGACACTTCATTATCCGTGATCGATATCCACAGACCACACTATGTGTTTCCTAATAACTATCTGATTAAATTTCAAACTCGAGGTTTGGTAATATTGAACTTTGATGTGAGGAACAATGATTCGCTGTGATAAACACACTGAGCACAGCCCCGAGCCACTCAAATTCGAGAAAGATCTTGCGTCAGGAATAAAAATACGGGTACGAATAACGTTAGAGGGAGAGTAAGAAATGAATGTACAAATAATAGTTGCAACCATGTTTCGGTAAATAACAAAAATAATGCGCTGACCGTCTCACAATCCAAGGGCAGTGAACATACTGGGCGAATCTAATCGATTTTCTTTGAACATCTCAGTTGCTTTTAACGTGATCATCGAGTTTTGAACGTGAATCGCTCCATTTACAGATGGGTTGGTTTGCTTTTCAGTTCTCTCATAGAGCTTGGGTCAGTAGACCAATCTTGTTACGGAGTGGGATGTGTCCCACGTGAAGGCCGGTCTCGTTTGGTGGAGAAAGCGTATTTCAGATGGACAACTATAAAAACATTTAGGATGCGTCCACAAGACTCAGTTATGTCTTTTATCAGATTGTTGGAGATATAACCCTACTGTTTCGACGTTTTATACAGCAAAATTGTCGTCAATGTGCCAAGTTCAGCGAAATGATCAATGACCATCTGATCAACTACTATCGTAGCCGTCATTCTTTCACCAGAGTATGAAAACAGTCTTCAAAGACAACACCCCTGCTGATAGGTTCCTAGACATCATCCATCGGTTAGGAGCGCAAGCTCTGAGCTGAGCCACTGAAAGCTTGTGTATTTGGTGAAAACTGGCTCAGATTGTTGAAGTGACTCTTATCAACTGACTAGCTCTCATTTATGCAGATAAGCGTGCTGACATGTATCGAAGTTGTCCAACACCAAAAAGTGCGATGAAAACTAATACAGAGCCAACCTGAAAGCTACTGTTGTCTTGTTTATCAAAAATTATGCGAGTAGAATATCCGTCCAACTGGATCGTTTAGAATGAACTTTCCATCATTGAATTTGGTAGCTTGCCATTGATTACCAAACAGAATATGATATTCGATCGATCCCATGTGTTGCATGCCTTTGTATGGACAAGAACTGTCGTTTTGAGAAATACTTACAGACCATGATTCCCGAATCGAACTGAGATAACTCGTTCATGTGAGTCCCTGCAACAGAGGATGTTTCGTTATTTTCGGCGGTGTAACCAGGTTATCAGACTGCTAGCTTTTTGCGTATCGGAGTCGGTAAACTTATCCCAATCTGGGATGGAGAACATCACATGTTCTCTTTGGACGTGACTTGAAGTACTCGCTGGAGTTCGAGGTCAGAGGAGTGCTGTTAACCTTACACAGATGATCGTGCGCAAAACGCAGGAAATGGGGCATCATCCATTGTCCGGAATTGCACATCCTCACGCTTTGTGGATGAGTTGCCTGAGTCAAAGGCTTCGGTGGGTGTGACAAAACCTACGTAAATGGAGGCAACCAAAAAGTTTTTTGGTAATATCCATTGGTTTAGAACTGTCTTCCACACAAGCAGGACAGGACAGAGAAGGGGAGTCCGGATATCAAGTATCTCAAATTTCCAAGCACTTAAGTATATCATTTCGTCAAACTCCACACAGAGGTTCCAATACACACATTTTTTATTCGAGAAAGTCTAAAAATTCCTTTTGTTACCCGTGTAAACGTTTCTCTCTTGCTTGCTTCAACGTCTGTACTCAAACTCACATCCGACAGAAAGAAACATTACCGCACTCCCTCCCTGTTCATGTATGTATGCACAGGTTTTAGGTTAGGACCTTAGAGGTTAGGCTCTACAGTCTTGTATCACCTACCTAGTTTTGAGGACACTATCCTGGTCCGGAAACCAGTGTGTCAAGGGTGTGTTTTTTTGGGTGGATATTCGTTACCAACAGTTTACGTGTGCTATCAGGTTGTTGAATTCACAATATCTGAGCCTTAGTAGTGGCAGTTAGTAGTTTCAGCATACGGAACATCCCACCGAGCTTCTGTTAAACTGAGGGCTGAAATTCTACACCCACTTCCACGGACTTCTTCAGAAGATACTTGCGCCTGACATGATTCTAGTTTGAAAGAAAATTGGGTAGCTGTGACACAACGAGGATTAAACTGCTCCTGAGCTTACGCTAGGACCTCTGTCAGTCTTAATTTTCTACACTGTGGGAAAGGCCTTGCAACCCAATAAAAGGCGCTCACAGACAGGAGCAGACCCATATGGATCATTCTCCGGTCAGTCATTGATGGTATGGTTCGGTGTAAGACTGTCGTCCCTACTAGAGCACGGTATGGACACGAAACACGAAACAGGATGAGCAAAAACGGATGTACACTTCTGTAGACACGTCAACTAATTCGATGCTGCTGTGTTTGGTCGTATAGTTACAGAGTTGTGAGGTTAAAGCTAAGAGTAAGACGAATGTAATTTATCTCCCTTATCAGGTCTCGTCCGTGCACATAGCCGACTTTTTTTCCCTATTATCGACCGACTGGATTACGAGGATCTAGACTTGAATAAAAACATCCCATGTGGAATTAACGCGAAATTAGCGCTCTCGAGGTTACGCCCCACAAGGAAACCTTAAAGGGTATGGATGGTTTGACATGGTTTCAGCTGGAGCAACGAGCTTATCGACTCGAACGCCTCCAACTGAGTGCAAACGACTGTGGACAGAGTTCTTATCTCAAACTATTATGGTGGTCTTGAATTTCGGGAGTACCGGCTTCACAAGTAGTATCTTCCGTGATCGGTTAATTAGAGCTTCATCAGTTCGTTTGCCACACAACTATTGCGAACCGAATTCCTTTGTATTAGCTCATGTTAAATTTCAGCTTGCTCCACCCTACTCGGCTGTAGCCGGACCCAATCCCGCTTGTCGATCACGGCGAGCTACCACTGTGGGGCAGTTGCCCACATCCGCCGTCATCGCTCAAACTCATTCGCTATTGTAGTCGACCTGATCAACTCCAGTCATCATTACCACCATCCCGACTGCCCTATGACTGGTAATTCTGCCGATGTGCTCCAATACACACACAAAGTTCTTACGACTGATACAATGTCAAAATCAATATAAACGATTGAGGGGAGAGGGTCGCAGTGGCCAATGGTGAAACAACAAACGAGGGATTCAGATGCGTTCCAGGTGAGTCTCTCGTAAAACCAGATTTGTTTGCAAATGAATGTATTTCGCCCATTTCGTGCAATTTTGTTTCAAGTAGAACATAAGGTTTACGGAAACTGGGGGACTGCGTCTACCCGACGAGCCCTAAGAGGGGCGAAACCGGTCGTGGGCTGTCGAAGAGTTTTCAGCAACCTTAGGAGTAGCGCGTTAAGAAAAGAAGGCAGGGAGTTAACTGAGAGTAGGAGGTGTGTGTGTAGGAGGTTCAAAGTCAAAACACAGCGTAGTGGAATAGGATGTTATAATCTGACGTTTCGGTTGCCGTGGGAAACCTTTTTTAATGATTTCTATATTCCATATTATACACCACATGACGTTCAATCTTTTTAGCACTATCCGAGCCAAAACTGGACCAGAACTCCGGAAAGTAAGAGACATCGAAGTACTCGTTGCAAACCGCAGCTAAAGTAGTCGGCCGCATGGTATCAGGGCGGTGAATGAGGTTACGGGGAAACGATAGAGGTGCATAGAAAGGACAGGATATGACGGAGAGAAATGACTTGAAAGGTAGTAATCCATATTATAACATGACGTTCAATCTTTTTAGCACTATCCGAGCCAAAACTGGACCAGAACTCCGGAAAGTAAGAGACATCGAAGTACTCGTTGCAAACCGCAGCTAAAGTAGTCGGCCGCATGGTATCAGGGCGGTGAATGAGGTTACGGGGAAACGATAGAGGTGCATAGAAAGGACAGGATATGACGGAGAGAAATGACTTGAAAGGTAGTAATATGACGTATGAAATCCCGACACACAACTTTGAGTCACCCTCAGGTTTACCCATCCCAAACATCAAAAAGGAAAAAATTGTGTTCGAAAGTCTACGATAATACTTACGCAGTTTGGCAAAATTAGACGATAAATGTTCATGGCGTCAGCAAGTGCGTGATTTTGTCACTGCCTGGCAGAGTGCAGCGTTGAAGTTTGCACACTAGATAACGACAAGAGGCATAATGGCTCCGTGCTATGAGTTGGTGCCGTCCATTCCGAAATCTCTGTCGAGATTCCAGTTGGCGGTGCAACCTCAAGGGTATCGTGGAACAGGTCCAACAGACTGCACGAACGGATAACTACGTACACTGACACACACGCGAGCCTGTTTGAAAACTTCGGGCGGTAAATTTTGAGATTTCTGTGTAATGGCGGATGTTATTTAAGACGGACCGCCGATTATGGATGATTTTCTGTTTGTTACACGCAGCGAAAACCCATAATTCTGTGAGGATTTGCTTGGTTCTTCAAGAGAATCTCAATTTAGGCACAATATACTTTTTTCTGTTCACCCCTACATTTTACATGCAGTTCAACGAACCGAGTAGAATTTACACAGTTCAACAGAGGCAAGCTTGTCCACAGCGAGTGTGCATTTTTTCCAGCCAGCATTTTTTCACTTGCGCGGAGAACGCACGTGTTTATTTAAGCACATCCTCAAAAGGCGTGCGATCGCTCTAACCGAATCGGTTCTGCATTTCAGCGGTGTGTTTCTCATTAAAATTGGATTTTTTTGTTCTGGCGTTATTAGCACTGCGTGAAACAAGTTCTACAAACATGCACTTATCTCGCTTGAGTCCCTGGTCTAGTCTATAATAACGAAACCAGCGTGGGCATTTTCTATCATTGTTGTTGCCTACAATGGTACCAGAAACCAGCTTCGTCGCTTGCTTGCGTTTCGTATTAGACCGTCGTGCATGTGGACCATGTGTGGTGTACATCTGATAGTGTTTGGCAAACATCTGGCTATTGGGGTGAATGGCATCCAGATCTGGCGAATATCGGAGTGGTAGAGCCCTTGGCACCACCGGTAACAAATGATGCGTACGTTCAGCAACGTCTCCAACTTCACTGATCCATGCCTAACAGGAGAAGGGGTGTAGTTCCCAAGACAGTAATTTACATAGATACCTAAAAGGCTCATCAAGTTCAGATGAACCCAGGTGCATGACTGCCTCGCAAATAGTTAACGATATAATGAGAGAACTACTTAGTTTTATTGACTTACACATTGAGACGACCTTGATCATCACGCTGGTCTCAAACTGAGTTATCGGGGTGCGTGGTAGTGACCACTTACTCGGTTCAGTAAGCGGGAGCTGGGACTGGCTGTAGTTCTCAGCAGTAAACACCATGTGCCGACAGGGTAGACAGACGTTTCGTAAGTTCCCCGAGCTCCAAATTGCTTTTGTCAGCAAAGGTAAGTGACAAGTTAATAGTGTGAACGACCCCAGCGCTTTTCAGGAGGTTCTTCAACATTTCCCGGGCCACCCATACATTCAGTAAATGCATCTGCTATACGACTGGCAGGCTGCCCCCGTCGCTCATTCCCGTTGAGAATGGCTTCTATAGAGGTGAGCAGTGATGAGCAGCTGTTTTGTGTAGTTTCTGGCGGAGTCATCCTTCAGCTGTAGCACCCTTTAAGTGCCTAACTGCCATGTCGCCCGAAGGTTGCATGAGGGCTGGGATACTGCCAGGTTGCCCAAGCCTAGACGGGAGAAGTCGAGAGGCAGAGGTCGGGTTCGAACCACGGACCTTCCGGTCAGTAAATTCGCGCTCTAACCACTTGGGCTATCTCGCCCCCTGGCAGACTCAACCCGCCCGTTTTCCGGCGTGCACAGCTCAAGTACCTGGATGGGGAATCCAGTGTTCGCTGGGATGGTCCACCATTCCAAATCCCGGCTCCTTATACTGGTGGGATAAATGTTGAACTCAGCCATATTCTTGCAGTGCAACATCCGCCTTGATCGGGAGTCATACATGAAATTTGTAAAATAAAACTGCGTTAGCCGGCCGTAAGACTATTCAGCTGAGAATAGTTTTCATCTACAACAATCGTTCGGATAACGCCCACATGATACATCAAACAAAAAGTCTTCTACAGACACATAGCAAACCAGTGGCTTAAGGCGGATAAAAGAGTAAAATACCGCCCAATAGGAGCTTGTAACATCAATGGGATCTATGTTACACTGGTGTGTTGAGTTCAATCGGATCAGATCACCATACTTAGGAAACACTTTACGTGTACAGTTAGACGTGTATGACAGAACTTTTAAACTATTATTTCCACAAATAGACACCCATGGATCCAAACCGATTCAAAAAATCTCGTATGCCATGTAAATCGCACACAGGATGGCCTAAGATGGGTAGCGTATCACGTAACACGTCATCAACAGTCATATCAATCCGGGGTTTAACCCGCTTGCATATGCGCGTACCCGGTGGAGCTTGGGATAGTGACCCCGTTTCGACCAAATGTTTCGCCGCAGACACTCTGATGGCGGACCTAACTCGTCCCTGTTTGATGCTGAAGGTCATCCACTCCAGGCCAGCTACTGGATAAGGTTAACGACCAGGGACGATACCCAAATTCGGTCATCTTGTTTCGCGTTCTGAAGATGCAGCTGTTTCCACAAATACAAAATGCATGATGGAAAGCATGCAACAGTTCTCTTGCACTGCCGGAGTATTCAGAATCGCCTAAAAAAGAAGTATTGTGATTTCTTGGTTTATCCCGTACGTTAAAGTTTACCGGGAAGTTTGACTAATTTGGATACATCGTTTTCTTTTCATTCTTATCGTAGAGAACCTAATAAATGTCAGGTATGTAAGGCTTGGACTTGACGATGTAATTATGAAACGAGATGTGGTTAATCGTGTAAATAAATCCACGAGGTTGACGGAAACTCGGGGACTGCGCCTACCTGATGAGCTCCAAGAAGGGCGAAACCGGTCGTGGACTGTTGAAGAGTTTTCAGCAACCTTGTGAGTAGTTTCCTTTATGAAACGGGCTCTCAGCTGTTTGGCCTCCAAAAAATCGTGTAAATAAAATACTCCAGGTTGACTGAAACTCGGGGAGCCCCGAGAAGGGCAAAACCAGTCGTGGGTTGTTGAGGGATTTTCAGCAGCCTTGTGAATATTTTCCTTTATGAAAATATACTGCGATATCTCGAATATCGTGCTAACTGAAACATGAGGCGGCTCGGGTGCAGTACATTCAGTTGTAGAAGAGCATAAACGAGAGATTCAGTCGAGTTTCTCGTGAAAACCAAATTTATATGCAAACGAGTGTATTTCTCGAAAATAGTCCTATTTGGGTTCAAGTAGAACATAAGGTTGATGAAAACTCGGGGACTACGCCTACCTGATGAGCCCCAAGAAGGGCGAAACCGGTCGTGGACTGTTGAAGAGTTTTCAGCAACCTTGTGAGTAGTTTCCTTTATGAAACGGGCTCTCAGCTGTTTGGCCTCCAAAAAATCGTGTAAATAAAATACTCCAGGTTGACTGAAACTCGGGGAGCCCCGAGAAGGGCAAAACCAGTCGTGGGTTGTTGAGGGATTTTCAGCAGCCTTGTGAATATTTTCCTTTATGAAAATATACTGCGATATCTCGAATATCGTGCTAACTGAAACATGAGGCGGCTCGGGTGCAGTACATTCAGTTGTAGAAGAGCATAAACGAGAGATTCAGTCGAGTTTCTCGTGAAAACCAAATTTATATGCAAACGAGTGTATTTCTCGAAAATAGTCCTATTTGGGTTCAAGTAGAACATAAGGTTGATGAAAACTCGGGGACTACGCCTACCTGATGAGCCCCAAGAAGGGCGAAACCGGTCGTGGGCTGTCGAAGAGTTTTCAGTAACCTTGTGAGTATAGTAGTTTCTGAAAATCCGCCAGGCGTTTTGTTATGAGTTGGACTCATGAGCTGGATGTAGCACATTCAGTCACAAGTTGCTTTTTGTGGAAGTTTTCACCATTGTTGTGCACCGGGTG